AAATATTACCTCTAAGACTTTAATCTTAGATATGATATATAAGATATTACTTATTTATTAATAAATCTAACTCTTAAGATTAATAAATAGTTATTATCACCAACTAAACAAGTTTAATAACTTTCAACAATGTTATACTTACAATATTATAGTTACAATATTATGTAGAATTATAAATTTATAATTATGGCGTAATACTAAATTAATATAATATAATATTAAATAAATTAATATATATAATATTATGAATAAATCTTTGAATAAAAAGAATTATTTATATAATAATATATTATATTATAAATTTAAAATATCACATAATATTATAAATTGAAAAAAGTGTTTTGCATGTCGTTCTTTTTAATTTTTTTGAAGAATCTATTTAAAAACTTATTTTTTAATTAATATTTTTAAAAAGCAGTGGTTGAATTGAAAGTTTCATTTATATAAATAATACATATTAAATTTTAAATTATTCTAATGAATCTAATCATTTCATTAATTATAATAAATTTAATATTGTTAAATATATATCAAAAAATAAAATTTCTTTGATTAAAAGATTTTAAGTGTTAAATCAATATAAATTAAAATGCATGATTTATATCTACAATTAATTTTTTAAAATATTAATTAAAATATAAATTTTCAAATAAATCATTTAAAATAAATTTTTTTTTAAAAAACCTATACTACTCTAGCCTCTAATAAGTCTAATATTTTCGAAATGATTTTTACAAGAGGTGCTTTTTTTATATTATTCCCTTCCCTTGTATTCACTGTAGTGCACCTTGTTTATATGTAAACAGCTGTAAACATGGCAGCTTCTTGCAATTTGCCTTGCCTCATTTTTAAACATCTTCCGGGCAGGAGTCCTTCTCCCCGGTGTCATCTGTTTCACCATTTCTGAATTCTCTTCCATCTGCTCCATAAGCTCTATACTCAGTTCGATCTTCTATTGGTTATCTGCTTTGCATCTAAGACGGTTACCATCGCTGATTCCTGGGTAAGTAATGAACCCATAAAACAAAGAAATTTTATCTATGAAAAGCCTATTTTCAATTTACAATCGTTTCGACTTTCCTTATCTGTTCTTCTCTTTCGACTTGATATTAGTTAATTGTCACTTGGTCTGCCACTCCGCTTAATTTCTTTGTTGTCTTAATCAAGAAAATTTCCCTTGCGAGCCGGCTTCATTTCGCAGGTACGATTTCCCCCCTTTTTTTTTAACTGTAAAATTGTTAAAATAAATAGGAAGAGAAAAATGTTTATCTGCAATACATGAAAAAAATTAAGTGGAAAAATATTTTAAAATTATATTTTTAATAAATTTTTATTAAAAATTAAAATTTTTTAATTTAAAAAATAAGATTGTTTTAATTTTTTTCTTATAATGTTTTATTTGAAATTATGCAATTTTAAGTTTTTTTACCTAATTTTTTTCAAAAACTTGATTGATAAATAATAGACTAATTTCAAGTCGGCAATAAAACAAAAATATTCAATTGATTATTTTCTCTCTTTAGTTTCCTTCTCTTTTTAATGGAAAAAATGTTTATCTACCATTGTGGTAAAAATTTAAGGAAAAAAATACTCTAAAATTTTATCATTTTAATTAAGTTTTATTAAAAAAAATTAAAATATCTTAATTTTTAAACAAAACAAGGCTATTTTAGTATTTTTTTTATAATATTTTATTGAAATGATATAGTTTTAAGTATTTTTTTATGTAATTTTTGTATGTCAGGATTAATAAACACTAATATTCTTTTTAATAATATTTTCATGCTTTTTTTGAAAAATCCTTATTCAGTGTGTCTGTCAAACTTCTATTTAAATTTAGTGAAAACCTAAATTTGAATTTTTTTTAATATTGAGTTGTACAATTAAAGGCAAGCTTTGTTTGAGAATGCTGTGCATAATACTTTTCGTAGATATTTATAAAACTTTTTGTAACTTTATACCCTTGGTAAATTATCCATTCTTATTTTTTCGTAAAGAAATGTAATACAAAAGTTATTTTATCCAAAATTAATAGAATTTTTAAATATTTTGGTAAAATTTTTAAATTTTTTTCGTATATTTTATATTAAATTATTAATTAATTTAATTTTAAATAATAATGCATCTAATTGAGTAATTTTACAATAAATAATTCTTTTAAAATATAATTACCAAACACTAAAATATTTTTCGTGAAAGTATAATATAACACTTTTAACAATTTCAGTTACAAAGTAACTCTAAACAGCATTGTCAAACTAAATCGTAATTTTCTCGCATCTCTTAATCCACCCTATTTGTATGTCATATAATTCAAATTTAAGATCTCTTATTTTTACTAAAAGAGAATTACTACTGAATTATTTAGGTAATTAACAACTTAATTTTGAATTTTATGTAAGTGAAAATGCTCTAATCATAGTTCTAATAAGAATATTAGGGTTTTTGAGAAAGTCCATGTTACCCTTACCAAGATTTTATATTTGGTAGAATATATTTTTAGAAGCATTTAGTATAATATTTAAATTGATAATTTTTTATACATAGAAATTATGAATTGAATCATGAATTTGTGATTAAAAACACAAGTAATATTACTATTAAATCACGTGGACGATCATTATTTAAATTGACATAAATTAAACCTAAAAAATCTCTTTATAAAACCCGAAAAATTAATTAATTTATCATTAATAAATAATTATTAAAATTAGACAAACACAAAACTTAACTGTACCTGCCTTGCCTCTCTCTTCCCTATTCATCATTTTTATTTTTATTTTTTAAGGTTTTTTATATAAAAAATAATTGTTAGACATTCAGTTTAATACATTTTTTGATATCATATTTTTTAACTATTAAAATATAATATAAATGTAAATAATTTAATCAATTTTTACATTTTATGTGTATAGCTACATCTTCACATTTATTTATTCTTAATTTTATTTTAAAAAATAATAATTTTTTAAAAATTTTATTGAATAAGAGTGGTGCCAACCAATTTCCTTTCCATATAGGATTCCACCACCACCACTAACCAAAATGTCATTCAATTCTATCGAACTTTTCTACCCAACAAATCTCTTTAATTTGTGTTTTTAAATAATGAAAACCTCAAATTCACCTTTCAAATAAAGGCTATGAACAAATTTATCTCTTAAAAAAATATAGGAATAAATTATGTTTTTAAATTATTACTTAAAATATTTTATATATTACTAACGATTTAAATAACTTAATAATTATCTCCTTCTACTAAAAGTAAAATGTTTTGAATTCGAATCATATGACATATGGATGTAATGAAATAAAAAATAAAATATGATTATTTTTTATTATATAATTAAAATAAAAATAAATAAATCATATATTATTTAATGTGCATACACGTTAACTTTTTATTAAAAAATATTTAAGTCACAAATAAATTTTTAATGTATGATAATGTTACACCTGTACGTGAAAAACTAACTATGTCCTTTGGAGGTCAGTCTGACCACTATACTAGAGTCGTTGGGGAATTAAATAATAAATAATTTATTTTAGCAGATGATTTTAAAAAATTTTATCCTTATTTTTTTTAAGGGTAAATTTACCCATGCCCTCTATTTGAAGGGCAAATTTGGGTTTCTTGTCTTTTCGAATGGCACGAGGTTATTGGACTAGAAAGTAGAAACCCATGCAATCTC